AAAAAAAAGCAAATATCCCTTGAAGGACTAACAGTTGAGTCATCAATCACATTTTGGTTTGAATTAACTTTCCCAAATTCATTGGAATGTGTCACTTAAAAGCCCTGGTGCAGGGGTTTTCCTTGGTGGCTTTTAGATCTCTTCACAGTAGGACTCAGTCTGCCTTTGTGGGTAATTCCCCACCTGTCCCTCGCTGTGTGAGCTCATGTTTACCACTGTATCACCTGCATCTAGTAGAGTGTCTGATGCAGAGTTCTAGAAGAATCTGTCCATGAATGGATGAATGAACTTCAACCATGCCCAGAGCTGTACCAGACCCAGAGGTGCCTATGCAGGCTAATAATCGGCAGTCCTTCAAATTGACATATTTTAAAGACATTATTAATTCCAAATTCATTAGGGGGGAGGAGGACAGTGAGAGGGAGAGGCAGATTTGTGCCAGCTGGGATCTTTTTCATTTCACTTGAAAGTGCCTTTTTCCCACTTCAGGTGCAGCAGCAATGGCGCCATATACATTCTGCTCGGGTGTAAGGTCTGAGTAAGGACCATATTTCCAAATTATTCCAGAGATGCTACATAGCACCTCAGAGTTTGGTGCCCATGCTATTTCTTCTGCCCAGAATGACTTTCCTCTTTTGTACCTAGCTGGTCTTTCCAGGATCAGCCCAAATATCATTTCTTTGTGGAGACTTTTCTTAACCATTGCATGCCTGCTGCTTCTTCCCAGTGGAAAATTTCTCTCTTTTCTTTTATGGCAGATTGCTCACACCTCTGTCTTAACACTCATCTTAATTTAGCGTGTCTCCCCGCTTAGAACGAGAGAGCAAAGTTCACTCTCTCAGTAATCCAGATAACTAGATTACTCATATTTGTGTCACTTGATCTTAATCTTTGTACTTAATAAATGCTTGTTAAATGCTTGCATGAATGAATGAATGAATGAACAGAAGGGAGGGAGAAAGGAAGGAAGGAAGGAGAGAGAGAGGGAAGGAAGGAAGAACTGTAAGGAGGGAGGGGGAAAAGCGAACGGGTGGAAGGATCAGGTCAATATCTCCTGTGGCAATTGGCCGAGAGCAGGGCGTTGTGGTGGCTGGCATTAGTGGAAGGCGGGGGTCAATATTTCAGAGTCTGGGGAAGCACATAGTACGCCACTGCCACGGGTAGGAACTAGGAGAAGCATGAGAGTCAACTTCAGTGACAAAGAAGGGTTACAGGAAGGAGATAAAATTTGGCCCTAAAAGCAAGTTTTGCTATTTCACAATTTTGCCCATTATCTGCTCAACTCAGAAGAAAAATAACAATAATCACTTAATCTTTAATAGTCAAAAAATGCTGTTAGAGGGACCGGCCCGGTGGTGTAGTGGTCAAGTTTGTGCGCTCCACTTTGGCAGCCCGTGGTTTGCAGGTTTGGATCCCAGGTGTGGACCCACACACGGCTCATTAAGCCATCCTGTGGCAGGCGTCCCACATACAATAGAGGAAGATGGGCACAGATGTTAGCTCAGGGCTAATCTTCCTCACCAAAAAAAAAAAGAAAATGCTGTTAAAGAAAACAACATAAGGTCTCCATACTAGATGGCTACAAGGTTCTTGTAGTGTATAGTCTTGTTTATTCAAAACCACTGTCTTGGAAAAAAAATAAGACCTGCATAAATAAAGCATGTCATTTTGTGGGTCTTCATGACTCTTAACACTGTTATTCTAGATAATGTGTTCTTCTCTTAGTTACCTGCTGTATCACATTCTTATCTCCTTATGCATGTCGATTTTGACAATTATGAATACAGAAGGTAATAATCACTATAGACCCTGGGTTCTATAAATAGACATTTATTTAACCACCGCTGCTAGCTTCTTACCCATAATAGCTATCCTGCGTAAGCTCATTTGTTGTCCTCATTTTCTGTTTGATGAATACTGTAAAAAAGACATGCCCTTGGTGACAAGCGTCAACAAAAACTGATCCATTCAGTTGCTCTCTAGAGTAATAAATTTTGTTTTCTGGCATTTCTATGCGCTTTCCTGGGTGATGCTCTAAGGAAAGGATTCTATAAGCATCAACTAATGAATCAATGAGTATGGAAATGTAAACTGTGCACAGGATTGTTCTAGGATTTGTGGTACTTTGAGCAACACAAAACAATTATGTTGCCCTGTTATCAGTGGAAGATATTGTCCTAGGGAGTGAAGACCAACACAGCTGACACATCTAAAAAGCAGTCCAAGTGCGGGCATAGTTAAGTTCTTATAAAAATATTTTTCAAAACATTTCCTCTGATGCATTGAGAAATACCAGTAATTTGCTTCCTGAGCCTTAAAATTAAGTGGAAAGGGTCATAGCTTAGTAAAGCTTTCAGATTTTAGTATTTTATCTATCCATCATTAAGGAAAAATATAGCAGAAGAGCTAAAACGATTTTCTGAAGTATTAAAATACACAGGTACTAGAAAATGTTTTTTCAGTGCAAACGTTGCATCTTGGTAAATCATTTCCACTGGAGTTTTGATTGTAGTTGTCCCAGTATGAGGCATAAAGGAGACGATTGGCTGGAGGAGTGGGGAGGTAATCGGCCTCTCTCGTATCAAGCTGTCTATATTTTCTTTGCACAAAGTGTTGTAGAGAAATTATCTGGAACGGATTCAACCTCAGGAGGGAAGTGGGGGGATCATGCACTGGGGAGAGGTTCTCCCGGAGAACGCGAGCGCCCTCTAGGTTGCACGTACAAGCAGATTCTGGTGACGAAACTCTGGCCACCCTGCCACCAGGGAGTAAGAGGGAAGGGGCTGATTCCTCCCCGTAGGAGGACTATCTGAACCAAAGAAAGAGGCTGGCGACGGGAAGGAAGAACGGATCAAGCGTTTGAAAAGCGGCCACAGGGCAACCTAAAGCCTGTGCAGAGTTAACAGGCGGGCGTCACACACAGTCCCCTGTCCACATCCCCTACCCCATACACCCGCCGCCGTGTGTCACCTTCCTGTTCGGAAGTCTTAGTAGGTTGCTGGGACAGAACAGGGGGCGCCTGCTCCACCCATGAGGTATCCGGTTGGAAGAAAAGCCAGTCTCAACAACTTGATTCTCTCCGTTAAATGATAAGTTTAGCAGACCATCCGTCTCCAACTGCTGAACAGTACGGGAGGGAGGAGGGAGCACGTCAGACGCTCCTTTTCTGCTCCAACCACAAATCACATGGTTGTGCCTCTTCTCTATTCCATTTAAAGTCCCCTAACTTAAATTCCACGTTCCTCCTCGAATGCGTGCAGCAGAGCTTCTTTGAGAAAATGAGCCCTGTGCATGTGTTTTGAATTTTTTCTGGACTGATTTGTGATGATAATCAGTCAAGTTACATTTCTTGTGTGTCTTGCTGGGGGTGTAATAAACCCAGGACGCTGATGACTGTAATTTTCTGGGTGATGTTGCAATGGAGGGAATAAATGGCCCCGTGTTGAACTTTGCAGCTTGCTCCCTTCCTGTATGTAAATTGCCTTATATAAAGTGGGGTTCCTAACAGAGCAGGGACAGCTGTCTCTGCCTTGTGCTCCCTTGACATCACAGCCTCCAGCTTTATAGGCACATACCAGGAGCCTACTCCAGCCATAACAGAGCTCCACCTCCAGCCTCCAGAAAGTAATCCCCAACCTTCATACCCTAGGCAACCTGAAGAATGAAAGAGGAGGCTATAAAATCCCCTTTGAAAGGTTCGTCTGCTTTTATTACTGAAATTTGGATAGAATGGATAAAACAAAGATGCTTCAGAGGATTTGAGGTTACTTGGCATGGGAAAGGCACAGGAGAGGGCGTGGGGGAGGGTCTCTGATGGAACGTTTCTTAATTTTTAATGTTTTAAAAACACAAGCAGAAATTCTGGTACAGGATGCTTTTTCCGGGCAGTCTTTGCAAAGTTTGCTCTCTCAAAAGGGGAAGGGACGGTGTTTGAGCAGGGCTGGGCTGGGCTAGGCTAGCTGAAGTGAAATGTGGGATGTGCGGGGCACTGCCAATAAGAAAGTCATATTCTATGAAGAATCCATGCAAGAGGAAGCAGAAATGGGCCAGTGACTGTGATTTGGAGTTTCCTAAACCTTGCTTTAGGTTAGAGCATCAATTTCAGGCAACAATAAATACTTTTTAAAGAGTGGGTGCTGAGCAAAACTTCCCAGCCTCTTTCCAGGAGAGAGATGTGTTCCCTTCACCCGGTTTGGGGCTGTGCTAACAGAGCAAACCAAGGAGCAGTTGGGACCACAGATCATCTTAGGGCAAATGAGGTGGTTGTGCCTGCAAAACAAATCGGTGCCCAGGACCGAAGAAAAACCGTTCCCCAGACCATTCCTGGTTTGGCCGGTATTCGGAGTGTGTCAGCCCCAGGAGGCTGCTCTAACATGGCAGGGCCCTTGGCAGCAAGGGGTCATGGCAGGGCAGCCACCGCAGACAGCACCAGCCAGCGCCAGGTACCGGGCCCTGCAAACCCTAGTAACTCGCAGGCGCCCCCGCTCCCGGCCCCGTCGCCTGCTCGCGGCTCCCCAGCGCTGGCGCCGGTCCTGGCGCGGCGGGCGGACTGCAGCTCCCGGCGGCTCCTGGCGGCGGGCTCTGCGGAGCCTCCTCCCTCCTCGCCTTCCCGGGCGCAGGGTCCCGGCTGGTCTTCCAGGAGTTACCGAGTCAGTGTATCTGGGACTTAGAGAAAGAACGAGGTGTAAAACCGTAAGGAGACTCCCGGGTCAGCCCTGAAATAGACCGGAGGAGGGGCAGGGAAGACGATGACACTAAGGGGTTTGAGGACGATGTAAGGCGACCTTGCGGAGTTTTCAGGTGGCACAGGGAATCGGGGCCCCCGCGCCGCCCCGGGGTCACTCCGGGTCGCCCCTGCGCGCGGCCACCGCTCCCCGACTCGCCACTTCCTCACGTGTCCTTGGCATGGCGGGGATTAAAATGCAAGGAAGAAAATTACATGCGAAACGGGCAGAATGTTCTCAGAGATTACTTTAGGGAAAAAAATGCAAAATGTAGATTGTCCTTCTTTCCCTTCAGTGCAGAGACGACTTTTATTTCCGCCCCCTCCCCTGCACATTCCTGACCTCTCCCTCCCCCTTCCCTCTTTCTTTCCTTCCTTCCTCCTCTTCCAAGTTCTGGGATTTTTCAGCCTTGCTTGGCTTTGGCCAAAAGCACAAAAAAGGCGTTTTCGGAAGCGGCCGGGCCGCGCACAAGGGCCGTTTGTTTGTTTTGGGACTCGGCAGGAAATCTTGCCGGCCTGAGTCACGGCGGCTCCTTCAAGGCGGCTCAGAGCTCCGGCGCCCTCGCCCGCCGGCGGCGCTGCGCTCGCGGAGATGCAGGGCGCGCTGGCGCGGGCCCGGCTCGAGTCCCTGCTGCGGCCGCGCCCCAAGAAGAGGGCCGAGGCGCAGAAGCGGAGCGAGTCCCTGCTGCTGACCGGGCTGGGTGAGCGGGCTGCGGCTCGGGCGGGGCTGCGCGCTCCGGCCGTGCTGGGGCGGCGGGAGG